AGGATGCGGGGGTTGACACCTTCACTCCTGGCCGGCAGCGTGTGGCGATTTGCACGTGCTCCCAGACTGGTCGCCACCTGGCCACGTTCACTCGTGCGCCAGGATCCGGTCTGTACACCCTCACCACTGCGTCGCGCTCCGCCCCTTTGTCTCCCCAGTTGCACGCGTCTGCTCAGATTGCTACACAGTGTGAGTGTCGCCGGCTGTCGCACGACACTCTCCTGTGGCACCACCGCCTTGGTCACCCCTCCCTGCCTCGCCTTCGTAGCATGCATTCTCGCTTCCTTGTTTCTGGTCTTCCCAGGTCTCTGCCTGCCCTCCCTCCCTCGCCTGCGCCGCCCTGCATTCCTTGCGTCGAGGGGCGGCAGCGCGCCGCTCCTCACTCCTCCTCGTTCCCTCCCACAGAGGCTCCACTGCAGACTCTCCACCTGGACGTGTGGGGCCCAGCCCGCGTCCGTGGACAGGGCCATGAGCGGTACTTCCTGCTGGTTGTCGACGACTACACGCGATACACCACGGTCTTCCCCTTGCAGCGCAAGGGGGATGTCCCTGCTGTTTTGATCCCCTGGATCCGCGCTACTCGTCTCCAGCTCCGCGAACGGTTCCAGACGGACTTTCCTGTCCTGCGTCTGCACTCTGACCGAGGTGGTGAGTTCTCATCAGACCTCTTGGCAGCCTTCTGTGCGGAGCACGGCATCCGCCAGACTTTCACGCTTCCGGCCTCTCCACAGCAGAATGGGGTTGCTGAGCACCGCATTGGCTTAGTCATGGAGGTCGCTCGTACCTCCATGATCCATGCGGCTGCCCCCCATTTTCTGTGGCCGTTTGCGGTCCGGTATGCCGCGCATCAGCTCAACCTTTGGCCCCGTGTCTCCTTGTCGGAGACCTCGCCCACACTGCTGTGGACGGGGAAGGTTGGCGACGCGTCGCGTTTCCGGGTCTGGGGTGCTCGTGCCTTTGTCCGCGATAGCGCTGCGGACAAGCTCTCCCCTCGCGCCATTCCTTGTGTCTTCCTTGGCTTTGTCCCTGACGCGCCTGGCTGGCAGTTTTACGACCCCGCCTCGCGCCGTGTCTTTGCGTCTCAGGACGTCACCTTTGACGAGTCGGTCCCTTTTTACCGCCTCTTCCCCTACCGCACTGCTCCTCCCCCCCCCCCCCCGCCGCTCTTTCTTGCCCCAGGTCCTCCCCAGGTAGACCCCCTCCCCGCGCCAGGTCCTGCTCCTTCAAGTGTCTCTCAGGTAGAACCCCCCGCGCCTGCGCCTGTTGAGGTCACTGGTGACTCCGGTCCTGTTGGGAGTGGTGCTGTTCCTGGGGGTGCGGAGCTTGGGGGTGCTGAGTCTGGGGGCGCTGAGCATGTCGAGCCTGGAGGTGCTGAGCCTACGCGTGAGGAGCCTGGAGGTGCTGCGTCTGGGGGTGCTCCGTCTGGAGGTGCTGCGTCTGGGGGTGCTGAGCCTGCGTGTGCGGAGCCTGGGGGTGCTGAGTCTGGGGGTGAGTCGCCTGAGGGTTCTGAGACTGTTGTTACGCGGTCTCCCTGGAGGAGCCGTCTTCGTCCGCGTGTGCCCCTCACCTCCCAGCAGCCGCACGACTGGTACGGTCGCCGTCAGCGTCGCACTTCTGCACCTCTGGGCATGCTGGAGATGCTGAGGGTACTGAGGCTGCTGGCGGTGCTGGACCTGCTGAGGGTCTTGGAGCTACTGGCGGTACTGGAGCTGCTGAGGGTCCTGGAGCTGCTGGAGGTGCTGGAGGTGCTGGAGGTGTTGGAGTTGCTGGTGGTGCTGGAGCTACTGGTGCTGGTGGCACTGCTCAGCCGCGCCTGTTCTTCGCTCCGCCGTCCCCGTCGTCTCAGCCACCACCTGACTCTGCACTTCGCCAGGTTCTCAGTCTTCCCTCGTCTATTGGTCTTCCGTTACAGCCTGGCTCACCGCTGCCTGCTCCTTCTCCGTACACAGAGCAGACCAGTGGCCTTGCAGAGCGTCGTGAGCCTGCGTCGCGTCCTGTCTCACCTATCCGTTCTGGTCGTTCCGGTCATCGTGTTCCTAGTCAGAGCCAGCCGACTGTCTCCGACCCTCACCTTGTAGTTCGTCGTCCTTCCTCTCCTCCGTCGCGTGTTCCTCTGCCGACTCCCCCTGCGTCCTCTCTGCCTGTCATTGTTGACCCTGCGTCTGACCTGTTTCGTGCTGAGCACTCTACTGTCCCGCGTCTGCTTGCCACTGTTGTCACTGACCCGTCGTTTGAGTCTGCTGCTGCGTCTTCCTTAGTCGCTGAGCTTGTTGACTTTGCTCCTCACTGTCGTCTAGACTACGTCGCCAGTCTTGTTGCTGAGTCTGAGTCTGTCTGTCCTCCGTCCGTCGGGGGTGAGTGTGCTCTTGGCACGGACGTCCTTGAGGACAGGCAGGAGGACCTTTAGTGTCTTGCAGCCGCTGCGCCTCATCTCGTGTCCATGCTGCTTGCCCCTGAGGGAGACCCGGATGCACCAGACATCCCTACCCCGCGCTCTTACGCTGAAACGATCGCGGGTGAGTACTCCTCTCAGTGGCAGACAGCCATGGACGCAGAGATGGCATCCTGGAAGTCCACAGGCACTTACGTTGATGAGGTTCCCCCTCCTGGGGCGAACATTGTCAGTGGCATGTGGATTTTCAGGGTGAAGCGGCCTCCAGGTTCTCCGCCTGTCTTCAAGGCTCGTTACGTGGCTCGAGGCTTCAGTCAGCGAGAGGGAGTTGACTTCTTCCAGACCTTCTCCCCCACCCCGAAGATGACCACTCTTCGGGTGCTGCTGCATGTTGCCGCTCAGCGTGACTACGAGCTTCACTCTCTTGACTTCAGCACAGCCTTCTTACAGGGCAGCTTGCACGAGGAGATCTGGCTGCGCCGCCCTCCTGGCTTCACTGGGTCGTTCCCTCCTGGTACCCAGTGGAGCCTCCGGCGGCCAGTCTACGGTCTCCGCCAGGCACCACGTGAGTGGCACGACACACTGAGGACGACACTTGCGGCTCTTGGGTTTGCTCCGTCGACTGCTGACCCGTCGCTGTTTCTGCGCACCGACACTTCGCTGCCGCCGTTCTACATCCTCGTGTACGTCGACGACTTGGTCTTTGCCACTGCTGACACTGAGGCTCTCGCCCTGGTGAAGTCGGAGCTGTAGAAGAGACACACGTGCACAGACCTGGGTGATCTGCACAGCTATCTTGGCTTGCAGATCACTCGGGACAGAGCACGCCGCAGCATCACACTGACTCAGTCACACATGGTGCAGCAGGTCCTTCAGCGCTTCGGCTTCACCTCGTCCTCAGCACAGCCCACTCCTCTGGCTACAGGTCACTCGCTCTCAGCTCCACCTTCGGACGAGTCCGTAGAGCCGAGTGGTCCTTACCCAGAGCTAGTGGGCTGCCTCATGTACCTGATGACCTGCACTCGTCCTGACCTTGCATACCCTCTTGGCCTTCTGGCTCGCTACGTGGCTCCTGGTCGGCACCGAAAGGTGCACATGGATGCTGCTAAGAGGGTACTACGCTACTTGTGCAGTACATCGGGCATGGGGCTCGTGCTTGGAGGACGGGGTGACGTTGTCCTCACTGGTCACTCGGACGCCTCTTGGGTTGACGACCAGGCTACGCAGTGGTCGTCACAGGGTTACACCTTCAGCCTTGGTTCTGGTTCAGTTTCCTGGCGTTCTACACGTTCGTCTTCAGTTCTCGGCTCCAGCTGTGAGGCCGAGATCTACGCCACAGCCATGGCTGCGCAGGAGCTACGCTGGCTCACCTACCTGCTGACCGACTTGGGAGAGCGGCCTCGTTCTCCTCCAGTTCTGTACGTCGACAACAAGGCCGCCATCGCCTTGTGTCAGGAGCACAGACTGGAGCACAGAACAAAGCACATCGCTCTCCGTTACTTCCTTGCTCGAGAGCTGCAGCAGCGTGGCCAGCTTCGTCTTACTTACGTGGCCACTCGGGCCAACACTGCTGATATATTCACCAAGGCGCTTCCGCCTGGTGATCATCAGCGTTTCTGTTCTTTGTTAGGCCTTGTGCCCACGCTTCCTCACTTGCTGTAGGCTTTGTTTGTACTGTGATCTATATGTATACCTGCATGCTTGCTCTTGTAGGCTGATATCAATGTGCTGTTGTTGTTACACATATATTTCTGCATGTGAACTGGCCTTGTGGCCTTTTGCTTGTGCTCACCCTGCGTGGTGACTTTGTGATCCACCGCATTCGTGGCTAGTGGTCCTCACGAGTCCTCGCTTCCGCTCACTTTCGCGTTCCTCTCTTGCTTGCTTATTCCCGCTTACATGCTTCGTCGCACCGATACTTCACGAGACAACACGCGAATCACACAAGAGCCGCGGCACCTTATTCGGCGACGGCGGGAGAAACTCGGCTCGAAGCTGCGGTCTCCTTCTGGCGCGCAATCAGTCCTTGCGACACAGCTGCAAGTGCTGCAAGAGCTGCAAGTGCTGCAAGAGCTGCAAGTTTTTCAGACTAGGAGGCGCACTGAAGGATCGCCCCACTAGCAGCACCAAGTCTCTCTGCATCCGCGCTGCTCTCCGTCGCTACGGCCCGTGGCATCGACCCGCCATGCTGCGCTCATGGAGCGGCGGCGGCGGCGACGGCGGCGTAGGTGGCACGAAGGGCGCGGCGTGGGCGCGGCGTGGGCGCGGGTGGCGCTGGTAGTGCTGGTGTGGCTGACCGCTGCGATCCAAGTGTCGCTCGCTGCGCCCACCACCATCAACGACGCCGACGGTGCGCTCTTCTCCCCTCGGTCCCCCTCTCCTTTCCTCTCTCGCTCTCCCCCTCTCGCTCCCGTCCCCCTCTCCCTCCCTCTCCCGCATCCCCTCCCCGCTCGTGCTCCCTTCCATTCCCTTCCTCGCACCTCAGAACGACCTTTTCGCGGCCCACCTTCCTGTGGCACGTATGAAATTGCCGTAGCCATGTGGCATGAAACCGCGATATCTCATGGTGCGTGCTGTGCTGTGGTGTGTGGCTGGGTGGTGCGAGCAGGCGGCGTGCTGCAGGAGTGGCAGGCGGCGTGGGGAGTGACGATGGAGGGGTGGAAGGCGGGCAGCGACTGCGATCTGGCCGCGCACACGCTCGAGTGCAGCGCGCAGGGCAGGGTGCTGGGCATGTGAGTCGCCTTGCGCTCTTTGAGACGTCTCAGTGCTAGGGTGCAACGGGGAGGGTTGAGGGCAGGGTGGTGGGCATGGCATGGGAGTGAGGCGCCCTCCGATTTCCAACATTTCCACGTGTTGATTCCCAAGTTGCTTGCAGCCCCATACGTACTGACCCAAGGGCACCAGCATCGTGCTCCCATGCGGCATGTGTTGTTCGTCTCGAGAAGCCAACTTTCCGCCATTCCCTTTCTTCCCCCCCCCTGTCCTGCACCCGTCCGCGTGCCATGCGCCATGGAGAGCAGCAACGTGCGCAACAGGAACCTCACAGGCTCCCTCCCAGCGTCCATCGGCAACCTTGCTGACCTCACCATGCTGTACGCCCCTGCACTCCACTGCTTTCCCCTTCACCCCTCCTCTACGCGCCTGCACCCTTTTCCTCTCCGCGCTTGACTCTGTAACGCTCAACCCTTCACGTATCCGCTCCCATCCTGTTTTGTCCTTCTGTCCAGCCTCACCTCCTCTCTCCCCTATTCTCCCCTTCTCCCGTTTCTCATTTCTTACCCTCCCTCCCTGTTCCACCCTCCCTCCCTGTTCCACCCTCCCTCCCTCTTCCATCGTCCCTCTCATCGCCGCCACCGCTCTCCCTGGGTCGTCCTCTGTGCAGCGATATAAGTCGCAACAACATCAGCGGGCCTATCCCCGACTCCATCAGTCAGCTCAAGGCTCTCGCTTACTTGTCAGTGCTGGAGCACGCATGGGTGGGAATGGGTTGGGGGGAATGGGGGAAGTACAAGGAGGGAGTGGGGGAGGAGAGCAAAGGGGACGGCTTGCATCCTCGCATTCTCTTTCCATATTGTTATAGCCCGCACACAGTGCTCGCTTACAACCCTCGCTCTTGCCCTCTTCCGCTCAACCCTCCCCGCCCCTCCCTGCCTGCCTCATCCCCACCCCTCCCCGTCTTCCCCTGCCCCTCCCACGGACCTGGCACACACCACACCACACCACACCACACCACACCAGGAACATGGCGTACAACCAGCTGAGTGGACCCATCCCCACTGGCGTAGGCCAGCTGCTCAAGCTCTCTGTCCTGTCAGTCTCTACCTCTCCCTCCCACTCCCTTCCACTCCTTCCTACTCCTTCCCACTCTTCTCACTCCCTTCCACTCCCTTCGCACCCCTTCCCACTCCTTCCCACTCCGTCCCACTCTCTCCCACTCCCTCCCACTCCTTCTCACTCCGTCCCCTCGTGCCACCTGCTATCCCAGCCCCCTCTCCACCCAGCCCCCTTTATGCATGCCCTCATGCCTGCCCATGTGCGTGCCCACACCCAACCAGCGTCAGCAGCAGCATCGAGGTTTAAGGTGCTCAATACACAACCGCTCAACCCTGCCCGTCACCCCTTTGCCTTGCCCTTCCACCTCTCTGCCCCTCTGCCCCTGTGCCCCTCTGCCCCTTGCCCCTGTGTGTGGGTGGCAGGCGGGTGTGGCACAACCAGCTCAACGGCGCCATCCCTGACTGCATCTCCCACTGCTCGCTGCTGCAATCGCTGTCAGTCACACACGCCATGCCACGCCATGCCACGCACGCCATGCCACGCCATGTGCCCACCCCCTCCTCGCACTCACTCGCAAAGCAACACCGTCCATTCACCTATCGCATAAACGCAAGGCCAATGGATGGGGCATCCACATTCACACTACTTGACTCTTTCAACCGCTTCCGCCCGCCCCCTCCCTCCATCTCTCCCCCCGTTCTCTCCTCACGCCACTCTTTCCCCTCCCCACTATGCCCGTGCCTCCCTCCCTGCACTGCCCCCCCTGTCGCAATCAATCGTCTGGCAGGCACGTGAGCATCAACCAGCTCACCGGCTCGCTACCCGAAACCCTAGGCCAGCTCTCCAAGCTAAGAAAACTGTGCGTCTCTCCCCCTACTCCTCCTCCCCCTCCTACCCCCGTCTCTCTGTGTCTCCCCTCGTCTTTCTCTGCCGCACTCCCCCCCATCCGCACCTGGCCATGGGTCGTTCAGTCTCCAGTAACATCCACAGTGAGAGTCTCTTCTGACCGCGCACTCCAATGATATTATCCCTTCCATCCACCACCTCCCACTCCTTCCCACGGTCCGCCCCCACTCGACTCGCCCTATAACACCTTGCTACCCACTGGGTCAAAACGAGGGTGTTATGAGGCGCAGCAGAATGCCCTTAACACAGCCCACAGGCGTTACACACCCTGTCTGCCCCTGTCCACGCGCCCCCAATTGCCCTTCACTCCACGCCTCTCATCTGTGCCTCTCTCTATGTGTCTCCCCCGGGGCGTGCATGTGTGGTGTGCGCATGGGAGCAGGTGGGCGCACAACAACAGCCTCACAGGCGGCATTCCCCAGTCCCTCAGCCAACTCGCTTTCCTGCAAGACCTGTACGCGCCACCACAGCACCACACTCCCCATCCGCACAGTTCACCCATGCCTGTGTGTGTGCTGTGCGCTTGCCCTCTAAACGCCACTGTGCTCAATGCTGCGGCTTATCACACCCTCGCATTCTCCTCTCCCCTTTCAAATCCCTTCTCCTAAAGCCATTCTTCTCCTGCTAACCCCATCCCACTCCTTCTCCCCCTCCTCTCCCCCACCTCCTGTCCCCCACCGCTGGGCCTCGTGTGACTGCGAGGCAGGAATGTGGGCAACAACAAGCTCACGGGCACCATCCCTGCACCGGTCTTCACGCTCACCATGCTCACGTCGCTGTCAGTGCCCCTCTGCTTCATGACCGTTTCTTTCTCTGTGGGGTGTGCGGGTGTGTTGCTGGTGTGTGAGGTGTGTGTATGCGAGCGTGTTGAGTGTGTGCGAGTGTGTGGGTGTGTGTGGGTGCAATGATGGTGGGTGTGGCTCGTAGACGCACCCTCACAGCGTGCCCCCCTCACTGCGTGCCCCCCTCACTGTGTGCCCCTCTCACCGTGTGCCCACGTGTGCATGCATGCGTGGGAGCAGGTCGCTGGACAGCAACAACCTCACGGGCTCACTGCCAGACGCCCTCACGCAGTTGCAAGAGATCAAGAAACTGTGAGGGGGACGGCGCCAGAGCGACAGACATTATTTTTTCTTCCATAGTAAAACGGCTCGTGAGAGAGTTAGCTGTGAGCCCTATCCTCCCTCTTCTTAGATCATTCGTTCAGCTGTTCTTTCCATAATCATATCCAAGAATCACTACTAAAAGACAGCATTTTATCCCTTCCCTTTTCACTTCACTATCCATTATGCACTCTCCCCTGCGCCCTCCCACGCCCATGGCACGCGCAGCAACCTAGGGGGAAACCATTTAGAGGGCACCATCCCAAATGCCATCAATAAACTCACCAACCTTGAAGATCTGCGAGTCAGCACAGCCTAGACGTGAGTCAGCAACACTTGAATCCACTCTAGCAGCATCCACCTCTAACACGTGCTTAGATAACACCACACTCCCTTACTTCCCCTCCTCGCCTCTCTGCCTTGCGTGTTTCACTGCCCTTCCGATCGCAACCTGCCCATGGGCTGTGAGCAGGGAGTTGGATCACAATGAGCTGCAGGGCTCCATCCCCTCGTCCATAGCGCGCCTACAAGACCTCAAGCTCCTGTCAGTCGCCCTGCCCTGCCATGCCCTGCCATGCCCTGCCAAGCCCTGCGATGCCATGCTGTGCCGTGCCGTGCTGTGCCGTGCCGTGCCGTGCCGTGCCGTGCCGTGCCGTGCCGTGCCGTGCCGTGCCGTGCCGTGTCATGGCATGTTGATCCATGCCATTCCATGCCACCACACATTGATGCATGCCCATTGCAGCTTTTCCTCCCTCCATCCCTCGCCCCCTCCCTCCTCCCTCCCGTCCCCTTTCCCTCATCCTAAGCCCCTCCTCTCGACCTCCTCCTGCACTCCGCCACACCGCCACCACAGCAACCTGGCGAGCAACAGGCTCACGGGCAACATTCCCAACAACTTTGGCACCCTCAAGTCACTCAAGTACTTGTAAGATCCCCTCTCTCATACCACGCCATGCTGCTGCGCTGCACTCTCTCGCACCCTGGGCCCCTTGCACTCTCTCCTGCGCATGTCATGAACACCCAAGCTGCGATATGACCTCTCATCTGTTCTGTTCCGTGCCCACCATCGCATCATCCCGTGCCCACCATCGCATCATCCCGTGCCCACCATCGCATCATCCCGTGCCCACCATCGCATCATCCCGTGCCCACCATCGCATCATCCCGTGCCCACCATTGCATCATCCCGTGCCCACCATCGCATCATCCCGTGCCCACCATCGCATCATCCCGTGCCCACCATCGCATCATCCCGTGCCCACCATCGCATCATCCCGTGCCCACCATCGCATCATCCCGTGCCCACCATCGCATCATCCCGTGCCCACCATTGCATCATCCCGTGCCCACCATCGCATCATCCCGTGCCCACCATCGCATCATCCCGTGCCCACCATCGCATCATCCCGTGCCCACCATCGCATCATCCCGTGCCCACCATCGCATCATCCCGTGCCCACCATCGCATCATCCCGTGCCCACCATCGCATCATCCCGTGCCCACCATCGCATCATCCCGTGCCCACCATCGCATCATCCCGTGCCCACCATCGCATCATCCCGTGCCCACCATCGCATCATCCCGTGCCCACCATCGCATCATCCCGTGCCCACCATCGCATCATCCCGTGCCCACCATCGCATCATCCCGTGCCCACCATCGCATCATCCCATGACCGCTACCAGGACGCTGTCCAGCAACCGTCTAGAGGGGGCCATCCCCCCCGCTATTGCTGCCTGCACCGCACTCAAGTCACTGTGAGCCTCTCCTCACACCCCACCGGTCCCCCTCCTTACATATCCCCCCCCCATTGCTGCCTGCACCGCACTCAAGTCACTGTGAGCCCCCCAACTCAACTCCCGATTCCTCCCCCCCCTCTTCCCCCCCGTTCATCCCTCCCCTCCCTGACCCCCATGCCCCGTGCCCCATCCCCCGTCCCTCCTGCCCCCCCTGGTGCGTGCGCGCTGCCCCGTGCGGCGTGTGAGCAGGGCGTTGAGCAGCAACCAGCTGAGCGGGTCCATCCCAGAGGGGCTCCTCTCCCTCGCACTGCTCAGACAACTGTCAGTCGCGCCCCCCCCGTGCCCACCTGCCCCTGTGCTGCCCCTGTGCTGCCCCTGTGCTGCCCCTGTGCTGCCCCTGTGCTTGTCATCGCACGTCCATCCTTTCAACCCACCCTCGTTCCCGCCTCCTCTCCTCTTCCTCTTTCTCTGCCTCTTCCTCTGCCTCCTCTCCTCTTCCTCTTTCTCTGCCTCTTCCTCTGCCTCCTCTCCTCTTCCTCTTTCTCTGCCTCTTCCTCTGCCTCCTCTCCTCTTCCTCTCCCTCCGCCACTGCCTCCTCGCGCTGCCCCCTTTCCCACATGGCACGGCAGGGCGCTAGACAACAACAGTCTGAGCGGGTCCATCCCATCAGGCCTCACCCGACTCACCGGCCTCAGGACGCTGTGAGCCGCTGCTCTCACACGCACACACACACGCACACGCACACGCACAGTACAGCATGTACATACAGGGAGTGTGTAGGTGTGTGCAGGTGAAGTGTATGACGTGGTACACACACATTCAACCTTCTTCACGCTGTCAATCACCCTCTCTATTTCCCTTTCTCTCCTCCTCTTTCGTCCTCTTCTCCCTTCCCCCCATCCCCTCCCCTCCCCCTTTCTCTCGTTCTCGCCCCTCCCGGCCCCTCATTGCCCTCTCACCCCGCGCACCACCATGGTAGGTTGTTGGCGGGCAACAGCATCTCGGGCCCTCTCCTGCCTGGCCTCGCGTCACTCAAGCGCCTGGAAACGCTGTGAGCCACCCACCCACCACACCGCTTTCCACAACTTCTCAAATGCGATCTTTGGTTGTGGTGTTGCCTGTCCGTCTCCTGGGCTCTGGCAGCCTGACACGCTAGGAGCACCCGCATTGCCACGGACCAGTGCTTCCCACTCAAACAAGCCTTGATTCCCCTTCTCGTGCCCACTCACTGCTCTCCTGCTTACTGCTCCCTTGCTCTGGTCCTTTGCCCTTCTTTCCTGCTCTACCTGTGTGCTCTGCTCATTTGCATCCATGCACGGTTCCACTTCCCCCCAACTCTTCCCCCCCTCCCTCCCTTCCACAGTAACTTAAACCACACGCAGCTCACAGGGTACCTCCCTCCCGACCTGGGCAGCCTCGAGTTCCTCGAAAATCTGTACGCCCCCTTCCCACCACACCCAACCGCGCCCAACCACACCCCACCTCACCAAATTCCACCCTTTTCTGCTTGCCCGATAGCTTCTTCTACTCTGATAGCCATCTGCTTGATAGTACTCTATTCCAACAGATAGAATATCACTTGCTTGCTTCGGGTGCACCTAACTAATTCGTACTTCATAGGCGTGTCATTCTCATGGTTTGCACCCTCCTCTTCCCCTCCTCTCCTGCCACCCCATCCTCCTCTCCAATCTCCCCTTCCCCGGCCATCTGACCCTCCTCGCCCTCCGCTTCGCGCCTGTCGCCTCTGCCCGCCTCCCACATGCACTCACACCTACAGCCGTTCCCTCTCCCCTCTCCTCCCTGCCCACCCCCTCCATGTTCCCCCACCCCTGTTCCTCCCCCATGTCCCCCTCTTCCTATCCGCCCTCCCATCCCCCAGGGGCACGGCCAACACGTCCCTGTCGTGCCCCTCCACCTCCTCCTCCTGCGTCTCGCCCCTCTCCAACGCCTCTCACTTCTGCCAGCTCTGCCCTCACTACTGCTCCGCCTGCCTTGCTGGTACGCACGGGTTGGGGACAGAAGTGCAGTTACAAGGGGAAGGGGGAAGGGGGAGGGAATAGGAATAGTGAGGTTGGTGAGGAGGAGTGCTTGTGGGGGTGTACAAGGGAACAGTGAGGTTGGAGGAGAGAGGGGGGAGTGTGGAGGGGGGCGAGAGAGAGGGGATGAGATACATGCGTGTACGATAACTGCCGTTGGCTTTGGCTTGTGTGGAAAAGGTAGAGGCGTTGTGTGGTGTGTTAGGTGGCTTGGCTTGGCGTGGCAGTGAGAGCACGAGCTGGCATTGGGTAGGCTTCACCACACGATGAAGCTGGCGGTGCGCTGAGTACGCGCTGCTTATCGCCGTGGGGGTGTCACTGGCCGTGCTGCTGCTGCTGAGAATGCTGAAACTGCTGTATGCTCGTGCCCTCAACACCTAACCCCCACCCCTTTGCCCCGCTCACCACCCATCACCCTGCAGGCGCACCGGTGGCACGCACGGTGGCCATCGCGGTGGGGGTGTCCCTGGCTGTGCTGCTGCTGCTGGGCGCGCTGGGTGGGTGGTTCATCTACCAGCGCCTCAAGAAGCGCAAAGGCATGGCCGCGTCCGCTCGAGGTCCGTGCATGCCTGAGGATTGAGGGGAGTGTGGGCGAGGGGGAGTGAGGGAGATTGACGCGAGGAAGAGGGAGAGAGTGGAGGTGTTCATATAATTTTCCATCTTACACAAGAAAACGGAGAGGGGAAAACCGGAGACAAGGGAGAGAGGGTATACAGGAGAGAGGGGGAAAGAGAGGAAGGAGAGATGTCGTTTTCATGCTCCCCTTGCTCGCCCTCCAATCCACCCTCCGTCGCTCTCTCCGCTTTTTACCGTGCAAACTGCTGATGCATGTGTGGAGGAGTACACCCCCTCCCTCCCTCAAAAGCTCTTCACCCAACTCCAAACCAGTCCCTACCTGCTGCCATGGCAAAAAACAAAACCAGCGCCTCTCCCCCACCCTTTTCCCCCTCTTCCCCTCGTCTTCTTAACCCCCCCCCCCCCTCCAGCAGTGCAAAGCGTGGAGGCATTCGTGAAGTACTCGCGAGACGACGTCAAGAAGGCCACCAACAATTGGGCTGCCCACAACCGCCTGTTGCGGGCGCAGGCATAGGTCAAACGCACCTCCAACCCTCTGCCTCTTCCTTCTCTACATTTCCACCCTGTTCCCCCACTTCCCTCTCCCTCCCCCCCCCACCAGTGCAAAGCGTGGAGGGATTCATGGAGTACTCGCTAGCCGAGGTCAAGAGGGCCACCAGGAACTGGGCGCCTGAGAACCGCCTGGGCGCAGGGGGCTTCGGCGACGTGTACAGTGGCGTGAACCCGCGTGACGGCAGCACGCGGTGGGCCGTGAAGCGCGGGCGCGTGGTGACAGACGACTTTGACACAGAGGTGCGGCAGATGGCGACGAAGCACCACCCTCACCTGGTGCGGCTGCTGGGGTACTGCGACGAGGCGGACAAGGAGCAGCAGGAGCAGATCCTCATCTATGAGTTCGTGCCCAACGGTGACCTCGACCACTGGATCGGACCCCGTGAGTGCTGGCTTTGACAGGTGCTGGAGAGGAGGGGGGGGGGGAGTGCAGTGAGTGGTGGCATTGAGAGATGCTGGGGGGGGTAGGGCGCAGTGAGTGCCAACAGTGCGTGACAGTTGTTTCACTCATTGCTGAGGATTGCCTGTGAGCCTGCTCATGTTACGCTGTGCGCTCATATGGCTACACAGACCACGAGGGCACCTCTTGAGAGGGCCCAGTGAATGAGTGGGGATGAGAAGGAAAGGTGTTGGTTCACTTGGGGTTGTGGCTTTGGCAGTTGGTGCTGTTGAGTGAAGGTGCACAGCCTTCCCGCATCTCATGCCGTCTGCGTCTCATGCTCGTTTCGCCTCCCTTCTCCTGCTCTTCTACTCTGTGCCACTGCCATGCACGTGTGCACGTGTGTGCATGGGTGTGTGTGGATGTATGTGCATGTGCATGTGCATGTGCATGTGCATGTGTGTGCAATGCTGCATGTGTGCATCAACACAGAGGCGGCCGGCTCGCTGACGATACGGCAGCGGGTGGACATTCTGATAGGAGCAGCGCGGGGCTTTGAGTACATGCACAGCTTCAACATCGTGCATCGGGACATCAAGCCCGCTAACATCCTCATCACCAACGACATGCAGGCATGCTGCCTCCCCTGCTCCTCCCTTGCTGCCTCGTCCCCTGCCTCGTCCCCTGCCTCGTCCCCTGCGCCATCTCCTGCATGCGTAATTTTGTTTCTATTCTCTCTCCACTTTTTCCTCTGCTGATGCGGGATACAGCAAAGACACCACCTGCTATCTTCCTCCGTGCCCTCCATGCGCGCTTGCCCGTGTCCGTCTCCCTCCCCTCCACACTGGACTCGCCATCTTACCGCCTTCTCCCTCTGCACCACCCCCCTGTTTTCACATACGTTCCCCTTCCTCTTCTCTCCCTTCCTGCCACCCTCTCCCCTCTCCCCTCTCACCCCCACCCCACCATCCCACCATGCCACTATGCCACCATCCCACCATGCCACCATCCCACCATGCCACCATGCCACCATGCCCCCACCCCACCATGCGACAATGCCACCATCCGTCTCATGCCTACAGGCGAAGATAGCGGACTTTGGGCTGGTGAGGCAGGAGGAGGGTTTGGGGAGTCTGTCGGCAACGCGGGTGATGGGCACGCCAGGCTATGTGGACCCCGCATACCTGCTGTCTCAGAAGGCCACCACTGCCACTGATGTCTACAGGTGCGTGTGCTGTTGTCGTGGCCGTGCGCTGCTGCTGCGTGGGTGCGCCGCGGTGCCACTGATGGATAGGTGTGCCGTGCTGCTGCTTTGTGCACTTGAATGCTCATGTTTGTTTACATGCGCCGGTACTCCTGCGCTGCGCCATGTCTTTCTGCCCTTGGAAGGTTCTAGGAAGGCTCACCCTGCTGCCTGCCGCCTGTGCTCTTTTTGCCGCATGTCTCTCTGCCCCTTCTTTCTCTTGTGCCGCCACATCTATGATCTACCCCTCACTCCCTCCTTTTCTTATCTCTCCTCCCTCTCCGTCACTAGCGCCCCTCAGCCCCTTGCTCACTCCCTCCTTATCATTGCAGCTCTGTCAAGCTCACTGTCCCTCCCTGCCTTTCATTCACCCCACCCTCATTTCCCTCCTTCCACCTCCCCCATTCCACCCCCCTCTACCGGGCCCATGTACGGTGTGAGCAGCTTTGGAGTGCTCATCCTGGTGATGCTGACGGGCCGGGATGTGGTGGAGTCAGCACAGAAGAAATTCACCCACCTGCGCGACCTCGTATGTTCACCCACCCTAAACCCGAAACCCCACGCCATGTGGTACCCTCCCACGCCATGCGTATGCGCTCAACATGCTCTCAAATGCCAGCCATCACCACTACCAATCCCACCCGTCCTCGTTCCCATTCCCCATCTCTTTCCTCCCTATCCCTCCTCATCCGTCCCCTTTTCCCTCCCTTTCCTTCCCCCTCCCCTCTCCCCTCCCCGCCCGTGTCTCCCCCCAGGCCAAGCAAGCCGTCGCGTCTAACGAAACCACAGCCATCCGCGACCCGGCCCTCCCCGACGCGCCCAGCGCAGCCCTGCTCGTGATCGCGGACATGGCAGTGCGGTGCACGGACCAGCGCACGGCGCTGCGCCCCTCCATGAGCCAGGTGGTGAACGCGCTGCAGGCGGTGCGGCGGCAGCACCTGGGGGGCGACGAGGAGGAGCAGAAGAAGGCGGACTCAGCTGTGCTGGTGGACGAGGAGATAGAGGCCATGCGCGTGGAGCTCAGGGGGCACGAGGATACACTGGACGAGGAGCTCAGTGCTGTCATGCGCTCCATGGCCACGCCCCGAGGGGCTGCTGCTGCTGCCACCCATGGGTTCCCGCCGGTGTCTGGTTCGGGGGGCGGGTCTGCTGCTGCTGGGGTTGCTGGCTGTGAAGCAGCAGACACGCGGGTGACCATTCACGACCCGCACCCGCTCCCCACGGCCTCTGAAGCGGCTTCCGCCGCTGCTGCCACTGCTGCTGCTTCAGCTGTCGCGGGCGTCAAGGCAAGCGAGGAAGAGGAAGTGGAAGAGGTGTCGCTGCAGTTCTACCTTGACGAGCCCGCACCTGCTTCACACACCCCACCGCCCGCCCCACCACCTGCTTCACACACCCCACCGCCCGCCCCACCACCTGCGGAACAGCCTGCACCGTTCCAGTTCTCTCCTGCACCAGACCCTTCCAAGCCCCCGCCTGGAAGTAGCGGCGATGGTACAGCTCTGGGTGGTGGTGCTGAAGCAGGGAGAGGCCAGCACACTGTCTTGTCTGTGGACGACTCACAGCAAGGCAGGGCTTGGGAGGAGGATCCCCCGAATGGGGATGTGCATGTGGGAGGGCACCAAGCTGCTTCGCCTGCCCCACCACTCTTCAGGCAACCTGAACTCGAACCTGCGCCCAGACTTGAACCCCAAGATGAATCCGAGCCTGAACTCGAGGCTGAACCCGAGCCTGAACCAGAGGCTGAACCTGAGGGTGGCACTGGATTCGTGCACATGGCTGGACATGGTCCTGGGAGGGATGCTGGGCCCGTGCACGGGGATGGGGAGGCTCCTATTGCACTTCACGCACAGGGGGCTTCCATGGGAGAGCCGCATTACACTGTTGCTGCCTCTGCTGCTGCTACCTCTACTGCTTCTGCCTTGTCTGCTGGTGCTGCTGGGATGGCTGGGCGTGGGGCAGAGGATTCGGATGCTGAATCGTTCTCGTTCGGGACCCTTGCTCCCCACACTTCCCCTGCTGCCCTCACACCTCCTCCTGCCCTCACACCTCCTCCTGCCCTCACACCTCCTCCTGCCCTCACACCTCCTCCTGCCCTCACACCTCCTCCTGCCCTCACACCTCCTCCTGCCCTCACACCTCCTCCTGCCCTCACCCCTCCTCCTGCCCTCACCCCTCCTCCTGCCCTCACCCCTCCTCCTGCCCTCACCCCTCCTCCTGCCCTCACCCCTCCTCCTGCCCTCACCCCTCCTCCTGCCCTCACCCCTCCTCCTGCCCTCACCCCTCCACCTGGCCTCCGCCCACCACCAGGCAGGACCACAACCCCAGCAGCGCCCGTCCCACAGCCCGCACCTGCGTTGCCATCACAGCAATCACTGGGCCTCACAGCTCTCATGTCTGAGGACTCCACCCAAGGCGATGACCCATTGGCAGAAATACCAAGCTCCGACGCGCCCGACCCCGATTCATCCCACAGCTCAGACCCCTCGGGCGCATCAGGGGATTCTTCTATCAGCCGGCAAGATTCAGCTGGTGGGGGGGATTCTTCTGGCTCTGCTCGCAAGAGTGCGCACAAGGGTGGTCGCAAAGGTCGTAAAGGAAGGTGAAGTTGAGTGCCAATGTTCATGTGGTGTACTCGTGGGCTTTTGTACTTGTAGTACATGGTGGGTTGAGATGGTGTGTTGTTGTATCTGTTCTTTGTAGGTTTGCTTGCAATAAAGCTTATTAATCTGTTTTAGACCGGTTTCAAATGTTTAAGCTGGTTATGCTAAGCTGATTAGCTTTTTTAGACCGGTTTTAATATGTTTTAGAGCGGTATCATAGGGTTAAATGTATGTGGAAGATTGTCTTAAGAACCTAGTTGCGTGAGTAGCGAGTGAATGGTGATAGTATGGAAGGTCAAAGGAGGGGATACACCCAAGTGTCGAGAAAGTTTTGTACCCCCTAATATGCAACTCACTAGAGCATATCTATATCTGCAAACATTGTTTGACACACCCCCATGGGCTAAGTGAGGGGCATCAAAACAAGCATGATATGCATGTGGTCACAAGACCAGTCAAGAAAAGAAACACAGCAAGCTCAGGGTGGATCACGAAGTCACCACACATTCTGAGCACAAACAAGAGGCCACAAGGCTAGTTCAAGAGTTCGCAGACATATACCGTATAGAAGTACAACAAGCAACAAGAGACAAGACTACTGTAGTCAAGAGCCTACGTCAACAAGGCCTAACTGCAAACATAACCTGTGGTGGTCACCAGGCGGAAGGGCCTTGGTGAAGATGTCTGCAGTGTTGGCCTCTGAGGCCACGAAGTCCAAGCGTGCCTGTCCACGTCGCTGCAACTCTCGCAGGAGAAAGTACCTGACGTCGATGTGCTTCACTCTGCTCTCCAGTCGCGGCTCTCGACACAGGAGGATCATGGCCTAATTGTCAGCGAACAAGGTCGGTGCAGAGCTCGGCCGCTCACCAAGGTCGGTGAGCAAGAAAGTCAACCAGCGAAGCTCCTGCGCTGCCATGGCACCGGCGTAGATCTCTGCCTCTGCACTAGACGAAGCCACAGACGACGACCGAGTAGACCTCTACGACACAGCTCCAGCACCCAAGCTGAAGCAGTAGCCCTGAGTGGACCTCTGTGTCTCCACGTCGTCGGCGTAGGAAGAGTCGCAGTGACCAGTCAGTACAACTGGCTGTGTCTCTCCAAGCACAAGTCCCAGGCCTGATGTAGTCGCCAGGTACTTCGCCACCCTCACAGCAGCTGTCCAGTGAACAGGACGGTGTCTCCCAGTCGCAACAAAGCAAGAGAGGACGCTGAGGGGAAAAGCGAGGTCCGGACGAGTACAAGTCATCAGGTACATGAGGTAGCCCACAAGCTCTGCGTAGGGACCACTAGACTCAAAAGACTCGTCGGGAAAAGGGCCGGTGAGTCTGTGATCCACAGCAAGAGGAGTAGGCTGTGTGGTGGAGTGCTGAAGCCCGAACCGCTGAAGGACCTGCCGCACCATGTGTGACTGTGTGAGTGTGATGGTGCGAGCAGCTCTGTCCCTGGTGATATGCAAGCCAAGGTAGCGGCGCAGCTCACCAAGGCCAGTGCAGGTGTGTCTCTTCTGCAGTTCGGACGTCACCTCAGCCAGTGCAGTCCTGTCTGTTGTAGCAAAGACCAAGTCGTCGACGAGGACGAAGAAGGGTGTGGGCCCATAACGAACGAACAGCGACGGGTCGGCGGACGAAGGACGAAACCCGAGTGCAGCAAGAGTAGTGCGCAGCGTGTCGTGCCACTCACGAGGCGCCTAGCGGAGACCGTAGACTGTTCGCCTCAGGCTCCAATGGGTCCTAGGCAAGAAAGTGCCAGTGAAGCCAGGAGGACGACGCAACCAGATCTCCTCGTGCAGACTGCCCTGGAGAAAGGCGGTGGAGAATTCGAGGGAGTGCAGCTCGTAGTCTCGCTGTGCTGCAACGTGAAGTAACACCCGAAGAGTCGTCATCTTCGGGGTCGGAGCGAAGGTCTGGAAGAAGTCAACACCCTCACGCCGACTGAAACCTCTAGCCACGTAGCGCGCCTTGAAGACAGGCGGCGATTCAGGCGGCCGCTTCACCTTGAAAATCCACATGCCGTCGACTACATTCGCCCCAGGTGGGGGAACTGCGTCGACGTAAGTGCCTGTGGATCTCCAAGACGCCATCTCTGACTCCATGGCCGCTATCCACTGAGAAGCCCACTGCCCTGACACTGCCTCACGGTACGTGCGAGGAGTCAATATGTCAAGGGCATCGGGGTCTCCCTCAGGAGCTAGCAGCATGGCACAGAGATGGGGAGAAGCGGCCGCCAAGAACTCTAGCTCAAACTGCCTATCCTCTAGGATGTCACAGCCAAGGGCAGACTCACCCCCGGCGGACAGAGGACGGGCAGCTACCACACGGGTGGCGTAGTCAAGGCGGCGGGTGGCGGCAAAGTCTGTGACAGTGGCAGAAAGAGCCGAGACAGACGACGGAGAGGCACGAGGGTCCGTGACTAGAGATGCGAGAACACGAGTGACAACAGGATGGGTGGCACGGTAGTAGTTAGTGATAGGGGTAGAGGTGGAGGCTGTAAGAGACGACTCGGGAGGTGACGGGAGAACAGACTGAGGTGGAGAACGACGAGGACTCGAACGAAGTAAGACAGTGCGGAGGTCGTCAAAAGGAGACGAGGGACGTGCACGAGTGGAACAACGCACTGTCCAATCGTGCGGGACAACATGAGGAGACGACTGTGACCGAGGAGGAGAGAAGACAGCCGGAGAAGAGTCCGAAGGGGGGAACATAGGACCGTAAGCAAGGGGAGACAGTGAGCGGTCTGGAGGAGAGGAAGGAACTCCAAGGGCCCGAAGGCCACTCACAGGTGGAAACAACAGCTGCAAAGGCGGCGGCTGCTGCGGCTGCTGCTGTTGCTCCTGCTGCTGCAACTCCTGCTGCTGCCACTCCAGCCCCAGCCTCTCCTGCTCCAACCGCTCACGCTCCTCGCGCTCCAGCTGACGAAGCCTATGGAAAATCGTCGGGTAGCGGCGGGGAGGTGGGGTAGGCACCACAGTAGCAGTGCCTCCAGCTCCAGTCTCCTCAAAACTACTACCTCCAGCTCCAGCACCCCCAAAACTAGTGTCCCCAAGACGAGCACCCCCAGAACTAGCACCGCCCCCCAGCACGAGTACCCCCACAACGAGCACCTCCAGCGCCAGTAGCCTCAGCTCCAGCACCCTCAGAACTCGTACCTCCAGCGCCAACACCCTCAGCTCCAGCACCCTCAGAACTAGCACTCCCTGCGTCCGTGCCCCCAACACCAGCACCCCCAGAGCTAGCACCTCCAGCGCCAACACCCCCGTAGTCCACAATAACCTGTCGCGGAAGTGCCGAAGGCTGCTGAGGGGACTGTGAGGAGGACTGCGGAGATGCTACCTGACGCGCGACCGAGGGTAGAGGGGTAGCGTGAGACACACCTGACGGGGCAGGACCAGGGGGGGCCGGGGGTACCGGAGGAGCGGGAGCAGGAGGAGGAGAGGGGGCGAGAAAAAGGGGAGGGTGGGGAACCGGGAGACTTTGACAGGGGTACCGGGTGTAGTAGGACACGGACTCGCTAAACCGGACGTCACGAGAGTCAAGGAACCGGTGGAGGGGCGGGTGGTAAAAGGTGTAGTCTGAGGAGTCCACCGGGAAAACAAGGAAGACACAGGGGATGGCGCAGGCCGAGAGCTTGTCCACGGAGGTTTCGCGGACAAGCGCAAGGCAGTCCCAAACACGAAACTCCGACGCAACACCAGGGGACCCGGTCCAAAGACTGGTCGGTGAAGCTCCTGGCCGAGAGACACGAGGCTAGAGGTTCAGTTGGTGGGCGGCGTAGCGAACCGCGTAGGGCCACGGAAAATGGGGCGCACGGGCATGGATCATGGAGGTACGGGCAATCTCCATGACCAAGCCTATGCAGCGCTCAGCAACCCCATTCTGCTGTGGGGACTCTAGAAGCGTCCAGGACTGGGTGATGCCCTGCTCGCTACAGAATCCGCGAAGAATGCCGGAGCAAAACTCACACCCACGGTCGGAGTGAAGACAAATAACACGACGGCCACGTGTGGTCTCAGTGGCCAGCAACCACCGGATCAGCGTAGAAGTCATGTCGGACGTCTTCGCCAGAGGGAACACAGTGGTGTAGCGGGAGTAGTCGTCAACGACCACTAGAAAGAAGCTCTCCCTCTTGGGCCAAGGGCGAGGGGCGGGGCCCCAGACGTCCAAGTGGAGAGTCTGGAAAGGTGCAGTGGTCGGACGAAGGGAGGAGGAGTGAGGAGTGGCGCGCAGCCGACCCTCGACGCAAGGAGTGCACAACGGCGAAGGCAAAGGAGGGAGTGACGCAAAAACGCGCGGGAGACCTGAGACAAGACGCTGGCTAGCCATGCTGCAGAGGCGTGGGAGAGACGGGTGACCAAGACGGTGGTGCCACAAGACTGTCGGGTGAGAGAGTGACCAACAAGAGCAAGACGCAGCAACCAGACCGAACACAGCCACCTGGCCGGACACCGCAACCTGAGGGGACGCAGCAGCCTGAGGGGACGCAGCTACCTGGGAGCGCTCAGTGTGCAGAACGTAGAGACCGGAGCGGGACTCTCTGGTAAACGTGGCAAGAACGACACCGGTGGCAGCGTCCGTGCAGACTGCAGTCCTTCCGCCTCCCAGAAAGGAAACTGTGATCCCCCTATCCTGGAGGTATCCAACACCCACCAAGTTCCGAGTGAATGAGGGGATGTGGAGACCTCTAAGGACACCAGAGGGGACAACCGGGCACGGCAGGGTGGTAGAGCTGCGTGCAACCGCTGGTCCTGAAGTAGGATCAGCCAGTGCAACCGGAACCGGAGCAAGAAGCGGTGTGAGAGTCGTGTGGTCGCGGAAGAAGCACTGCGACGCGCCAGAGTCCAGCGTGAAGGACAGCGATGCCTCAACCGTAGGTGCATCTGGGCTAGTAGCTACACAAGCACCTAGTGCGGAAACACAAGCACCTAGACTAGAGAGACAAAGATCTACACTAGCAACAGGCAAATAACTTAAATTACGAAAACGTGAGCAGACAGATCCAGCAGCACT